GATGAACCTCTGAAAAAACTGCATTTTTTCATAATATTTTCAATCAATGATAAAATTGTAAAGAAATTAAAATTTCAAGAATTAATTTCGCAACGCTTGCAATGACAGAAGCATTATGAAAGTAACTGAAATCGTTTTGTCGCTTCTACAAGAGTTTTTGAAAGAACTTCTTTTAAACCCTATATCTCCGAAACTGGCAAAGGAAATCGATTGCTTTCCCATTACATGACTTGGTAACTATTTTAAAACATGAATCATTTATTAAAAAGCTCCCAATTAGACATCGGTAAGAGTCCAATAAAAATTTTCTACCAGATTACAGACGACAACTTTTTCTAGCGGAATATGATGTTTTATTAAAACTTGTTTATAAATAAGCGACATATGGCGACTTTTTATTTAGAATTTCAATGATATAAAAATTTTAAATTTTAGGTGAACAGTAGCTCCATTTAAAGCTAACTTATCCTTATAGATAGTGGAGCCGATTAAATTGTCCGTCTGTCTGTTTGTTAAAATCAATTTTCTGAAGATTCCAGATATCAGACATGCTTTCGGGAAGATCGCTATTTAAAATCAGCAAAATCGGTTCATAAATAACAGAGATATGACCAAAAATCCGAGACAACCTCTGAAAATTTCTTCAAAAATTGAGATTATTCGTGCATGCGGGGACAGAATTAGGTTAGAACCTCTAAAAGAGGACTTTTTGAATTTTCTATAATATTGAACCTAGAAACATCAAATTAAGTATGTGGAGCCCGGATAAAGTGAGTACCTATAAAAGGCGAATTTTTGTTACTTTTTCGTTTTTTTTTGAATTTTCTTTAATATTGAACCCGGAGACATGAAATTAAGCATGTAGATACGGATTATGTGAGAACCTCTAAAAGAGGACTTTTTGGTACTTCTACAAAAGGTACTTTTTGAATTTTCTATAATATTGAACCTAGAAACATGAAATTTGGCATGTTGGGACCGGATTAAGTGAGACCACATACATTTGTTCTACTTTTTTATTCTGTGATAGTCTTTGGTTTTTATGTACATACGCAACACCCTGTTTGAACGAAAATCTATAAAAGGGGACATTCTCTTACTTGTTTCTATTTGATAGCTTTATAATTGGTCTATCTGACATGCTTAGTTTTTCAGCCCACTGACACGCCCACTAAGATGAAAAAAACTCTTATAAATAGAAGAATAAGGACTTTGAAAATACTTTTCTTTTACAGTATTTTTAAACTAACAATTCCTGTATTGCCAAGAGAGATTTCAATCAAAACGCTTTTGGAACGAGTAATATTGAATATCTTTCTCCTTAAGTTAAGACATTTTGAGGCTCTTAAACTATAATCTTTAAAAGCTTATAATAGAATGTTATTAATGCTGAAACATATTACTGTTACCGCCCCCTGCCACGCCCGTCTTTATTCATTTGTAAGAGGAAGACTCAAGAATGGTTTGTCTCCAACCCATTTTCCAATTAAAAATTAATAACAT